AGAGTGAGGAGAGGTTGAAATGGGCAAAGGGGATCAATATATGGTGACGGAGGGACACTAGACTTTGCATGGTGAACGCACATTGCAATACACAGATGACATATTATAGAATTGTACACTCGAAACTTATATAATCTTATCAGTCAGTGTCACCTCAATACATTTAATTTTAAAAAAGAAAATGAGTTTGAGAAAGGGTAGGATAGTTGCTTTGAGCTCAGGTATTGCAGTACGATTTTATTACTGTCACTAGAATGAACCTAATTTGTCCTTAGAGTATGAGTAGACTGATTTTAATCGGAGCAACTGTTTATTTTTTATAAAGCCTAATTATCTAACCTGGATAAAATATAATTCAAAATTAAAACACTAAATGTTTGACTGCAGTAGGGTCTCTTGATGAAAAGGGTATTATATTTAGTTTAAGACGTAGTTTATTAGAACAAATACTAACGTTTTCTCATAAAATGTGCCATTGATTTTTTTCAAGTGGCACAAAATAATTCTATTTGGAAAGTGTTTCAAATGTTCAGAAAAAAATGTTTTCTAAAAATATTAGTACGAAAGACTTTTTAAAAATAATTATCATCCTCAAAAGCATTTACTAATAAGTCCCTGGCCAGTGTGGCTTAGTAGGTTGGAGCATAATCCCATCAACCAAAAGGTCATGGGCTCAGTCCCCAGTCAGGACACACCTAGGCTGTGGGTTTGATCCCCAGTTAGGGTGTGTGTGGGGGGTGACCAATCAATTATTTCTCTCTCATATTGATGTTGCTCTTTCTTTCCCTAAAAATCAATAAACATATCCTTGGGTGAGGATTAAAAAAGAAGAAAGCATTTACTAATATATACTGTATTTTGCCATATATGTGTACCAATGGTTTTGGCCCTAACTTTTAGGAAAACAATCTTTTATTTTAATTCAATTATTTATTTATTTATATTTAGGAACAAAACCAATTATCATATTCCAGGGTATCATTTTGCATACAGATACTGTTATTGCTTTCTAGAGTTATACTTTTAATGCATAAGCATAAATAAAAGAATTAAAAACATTTATATAGATACAGAATTAGTACTACCCATGTATAATGCACATCCTTATTTTTTCCACATCCTTATTTTTTCCTCAAAAAGTTGGGCAAAAAAGTACACATCATACATGGCAAAATACGGTGGCTACATTTTCATTGTACATGTGCTGCCTTAAAAATCACCCAATCAAATATGTGTTTAAGGGGAAACAAATGTTTGTAAGAGTCCAATAGCAACTACTGGGAGGTGCTTTAAATTGTTAAATAAACAGTGTTAAAAACAGACAGACACACAAGGACTTCTCCAAGTATGAATACAGGTCAAATTCTATTACAAAATCCAAAAAACTATTCAGTTCTTTTGAACTATTAGTGTTTTGTTGTATCAGATACAGATCTTATTAAGCAGGACATTATCTGATCCAGGGAACCTTTTTGTCCCCAGATACAGTGCTCAGTTCGATGAGATTTAGATTTCACGAAACAAATGATGCCACCATTTTCACTGATGGGTAGCAAAATAAGAAAACCAAGGGCAATGATACATGCACACTCACACACACACAGTTAAACACATGTGCTCACACACACCTAAGGAACAAATGTATGTAAGTGTTATTTGTAGTTGTCAACTTCTCTCTCGGGAAGATCGCCTTTTTCTAAAATTGTCTTTCCGAGTTTTAAAAAATATTACAACACCCTTTCTTTTATGAAGCAATGGTGATAATAGTTGGTAGTTGGTTCTTTAAAATGCTGACAAGCCTATGCCAATCTATAAAAACAACAAAAAAAAATTTAAAGATTTTATTTATTTATTTTTAGAGAGGAAGGGAAGGAGAGAAACATTAATGTATGGTTGCCTCTCATGAGTCCCCTGCTGAGAACTGGCCTGCAACCCAGGCATGTGCCCTGACTGGGAATTGAACCATGATTGTCTGGTTCACAGGCCCATGCTCAATCCACTTTTTTAAATATTACTGCTCCATGAACTCCAAAAATCCACAAATGACAACTTTCTAAAAAGCATCTTGGCTAGCTTCCCTTCTTTTTAGGAGAAAGCCAAACTCCTTCACCTAGCATTCAAAGTCTTCTACATCTTGTCTTCACGTATTTTTCTAGCTTTTCTTATCATAATGGGAACAGTCAGGCCACCAGCCCCTACCTGTCCTCACCTGCTTTGGCTGAGGTCACTGGAGTACCTTCAGCCTTAGTCCCCCTGGATCCTAGTTACTGACCTTAGCAGAGGTCATTTAACGCCCCGCTCTGTGAGGGATGTTCAAGGAAAACCCTAGGAACTTAAAGTTACTAGTCACTGAGCTGCAGCCTTCCCCAGGGTCCAAGGATCTGTTTTTGCTTCCAGCTTGGTACTCCTCCTCCCTATGGGCACTGCAGCTCTGCCTTCGATTCCAGTTTGGATGAGACCCTCAAACACTTCCCTACCAACTGACTGTTCTCAGGGGCTACAACCTGTGTCCTGGAGTCAGGCTCCACCCCCCCAGGGCCACCTGAGACTAACATGCAGCTCTGTGCTAACCATCACATGCCAGGGCCAGACCAGTGTTCCCAGAAAATGCTCACACACCCTCTCACTAGACCCCAGCTTCCTTTCCTTCCCTTCTCTACCCAACCTGCTAGCACATAACAGGCACCTTGGTCAAGACACTGGAGTTATTACTTGTGCTCTCCCAATATGCTGCTTTCCACTTACACACCTTTCCCTAGGACAGACTATCTGCCCTGGATGCTTTCTCTCTCATTCCATGCCTCCCTAAACATCTCAAAGTCTAGCTCAAACGTGCCTCCTAACAATTCATTTTCATTATTCAACAAACATTCGGAGAGGTCTTGCCAGGCATGGGGACACAAGGTAAATGACACAGGCCTTGCCTGCCCATTAGGAATCCAGTCGATCCTGAGTGAGAGCCAAAGGGGGATTATTTCCCTTCCACAAGTTAAGCATCTGAAAGACAGGGTGCACAACATTGCTTTAGGCCCCAGGGGACTCTAGAAGTATTTACTGAGAAAATAAATGGAAAGACATGACTTTAGTTAACATGCCCTCAATTTATTTGTTCAGCAAATATTTATTAAATAGCTATTATATGTTAGGAATATCATAGAATTCTGAAAAGTTAAGGCTTAAAAAGACGGACTCTACCCCACCACCTCATGCAGATGAGGGAGTCTGCCTCTGAGCACCTGGTTTTGGAGAGTGGAGGGCTGCATGCTTTGAAATAAGTTCCCTGTGCACACAACTCTATCCTTTAGAGCAAATCAGTATTCATTTATTCAAGAGAACACATCTAACTTCCTAATTTATTGGCAGTACTTACCCTTCCTAAGAGCTTATTTTTTTAACCTCTTTTTAAAAAATCCAACAATAACATTTATTGGAGGCCTACTACGTGCCAGGTAGTTGATATAGAGACTCAGAGGCAAGGTCGCCATCCTGGAAGAGCTCAATTAATTAAGGGAGCCACACCTGTAAACAGTATTGCTACAGAGCAGTGAGACAGTTCAGAGAGGCAGTCCCAGGTGACCTTCAGAATCAGAGACAGTCTCTCTCCACTAGAAGAAAATTTTCTTTGGAGTAATGGAACCCTGTGGAATGTAATGATCAGTTTTTCCTCTAGGAAAGCCCGAGTAAGTGAAAAACTTCCCACCAGCCCAAAAGAAATGGTGAGAATCTCCTCTGTGTGGAGGGTGGGAAAAGGCAGAGGGGCCCAGTGGGTGGGAAGGGCAAACACAGCTGGTCTCAGCCCTTCCTAGGGCATTTTGGGAAGGGGTGGTTGGAAGTGTTTTTATCAGAATAGATAACATCCTGCTGGTAAAGAACATCCTCGATCCAAACGCAGAAAGTGTTCCCATTATCCACGCACTTTACCCAAAGCCTGTTGCTACCTCCCAGTCAGGGTAAGGTACCCAGAGATACCCCACACACTCAGTTCCCCGGGAAAGAAGACTTACAGAGAGGCCTGGAGAAGACGGAGAAGCGGGGACAAGAGAACCCAGGGCGCTCCCCTCGCCTCCCCTGAGGTTGCTCTTTCCTTGTCATATAGTCAGTTGATGTGTGAGAACACAGACTTTAACCACTTGAAACCAAGTTACCCCCCTGCATTTATTACTTTCACCTTGTGGTTTGGCTTTCATCTCCACAGAAACTCAGAAAAGAAACCTCTTTCCATCAAAGGGAAAAAAACGTTTAAGCTTGTAATAAACACCTCCCTTATAATGTTCTAGGGTTAACTAATGCACATTTGTAAAGTGATTGCTTTACTTCTGAAGACAGGACGTTTTGATGCTCAGAAGCAGAGAAATGTGAGGTGTAATGAAAACCTGTCAGCTTCCTAGCGGTTTGAAAACAGGTGAATGATTAATTCTCTTAAGGGACTGAGAACACCAACAAGAAGACAGCCTCACAGTTTAACAATCATGAATGCTCACAGACCTGTGTGGCGGTATGTTCTCGAACTATCAGAGTTGATGGCTCTCAAAGAACTAGAGCTACAGGTGACACGGAAGACAAGCCACTGGGAAGAGAAGTCAAATGTCCCACAGCATCCCGGAAAGCGAACATGGCCGGGCCTGCTCTCGGGCCTCTGAGGTCTAGCTCCTTACATACCCCGACTGTGTGCAGACGGTCCATTTGGGTCACAGAACAAAAGTCCATGCAGGAAGGAGATGCAAATACCTCGAGGCATTTACTTAACGTAACATGACACCAACTTTTTGTCCCTGAAAATTCATTTGAAAGAATCCATTACCTTGAGCATGCGGACTTCTCGAAGGGCAATTTTCTTTATGACAGGGTCATCTTCCGATTCCAGAAACCTCTTAATGGCCACGATCTGACCAGTGTCCCTGTTTCTGCATTTGAAAACGACTCCATAGGATCCTTCCCCAATCTTCCCAATTTTTTCATACTTCTCCATCACAGAGGAATGAATCTTCTTAAAATAGATCCTCACATAGTTTGAAAATGTCGCTTGTGAAACACTGCCATGGACAGACTGCGCTGGAGCCCCCACTCAGCGACCAGTCTCCGTCAAGGCCCTAGAACAGAACAACAGCACCTGTCAAGATTTAGGAATTAACCCACAGCCTTAAAGCCTCGCCCCTCAGCGATGGCAACGTGACCAAATGACAGCCTAGAATTAGGTAACCCAATTTTAACCCTCCGTTAAATACACCCCGCAAGTTAAAATGTAACCCGTCATCCTAAAACGAACCGAGTGGTAAGGTAATCTGTCTTTTTAATGTAATATTGTAGTTCATCCGATCTAAGACACTTGAGCTGGCTGGAGGTCGAGGAAGGCTAAGGGGCTTCCCCGGTTCTAATTTCGGGTCCGATTTCCCTGCAGCAAGAAGACACCGCGCGGCTCCCCACGCGGGTGGCGGCGGGGCCGGGGCGGGGCGGAGACCCGGCCCAGAGAGGAGCCCGCCCCGCGCCCCCACCTCGCCGTCCGCCCAGGGCTCGGGCCTGGAGCTCGGCGGACCGCGGGCCCTGTCCAGCCGGCGCCGCTCCGGCCGCCGCTGACTCCGTGCGGGGGGAAGACACCGCCAGCGCCGCCCGGGCCTCCCTCCCGCTCCCCAGCCAGTGCCGCGCAGCTTCGGGCGGCGCCACGTGGCGGCCAGGCGCGCCCCGCACCGCCGGGCTCGGCCCTGCCCGCGCCTCCTTCCCGACTCGGGACTCACGGCGCTGCCCGGCCGGGCCTTGCCTGCACCTCGCCGACTCCCGTCCGCTCCTCCGCCTGCCCGGCCCGCGATCCCTATGGGAACGGGCCCCCACCCGGACTGCCCTGGGCGTAGCCGCCGTGCCCGGGCCCCAGCGGGACTGGGCCGCAGTCTTTGCTGCCGGGAAGGGCCCTGGTGGGTGGTCCTCGGCCCCTGAAGGAGCTGTTCCGACCGTGCGCCTGGGGCTCGGCACAGAGGTCCCTCGGGCCTGGAGAGGATGCCTGCAAGACTGCAAACTCTGGCAGGTCGGGAAAAACACAGGAGCGTAGTCTGCCGGCAAGACCCCTGCGCTGGGAGACCCCCGCCCCATCCCACCTTCATGCTCCTCGACAGAGCGGTTCCCACACTGCGTAACAACTGTGATTACACCTGTATTCTCTGCTAGACTATAAACGCCTTGAAGGGCGCTTCTATGTCTGTCCTGATCAGTGGCCATGGCGTCCAGTCAGTGAGTGAGTGAGTGAGTGAGTGAGTGAGTGAGTGAGTGAATGAATGAATGAATGAATGAAAATAGGGAGAGAAAGGCAAAGATGAAGAGGGAGGTATGACCGAATTTGGTTAATGTCAGCCCTTCACTCCATTAGCTTGGAGAGCGAGGGTGCCCTTGACCATTATCTTCCACGACACCCAGGCTTCTGATGCGGGGCTGGAGGCATACAGAGCCGGCCTGCCTTGTTTTAGGTTCCATACTCCCATCCTTCTCCCAACTGGCTCTTATTTTCTCAGCACAAATGCAGGAAGTTAAGAAACCTGGGGAAATTGTGAAATGTGGTAATTTGCCACGGGGTAGACTACCTCAATACCTGACCATCTCTCCCATTTCATCTGCCTAGCACTGATGTGGGGTTTGTCCTGGAATACCCGAGAAGAAAAAATTAACATACTGTCTATAAAACAGGGACCAAGTCCTGTACCAAGCGGCATGCCACTAATTGTAAATCCGAATAGGGGCCACACAGGAGTTGGAGCTGGTCGGGGGATTGGTGGCTGCTGTGACAATGGAATAGCATATGACGGCGTCCAAGGGCGGACCGGAGGACGTGTGTGAACCTCCCGGAAATTGTTTGCAAATGGCAACCACTGATGTGTGTCTTGTCTCTATGGTTTTGCGTTTTCCAGAATGCCATGTCAATGAAATTATACATTGTGTAGCATTTTGAGCTAGTTTCTTTCACTTTACATAAGTCGTTTGAGAGTCATCCATTTTGTGGCCTTTATCAGTGGTTCAACGCCTTTTCATTACTGAGTAGGGTTCCACTGCATGGATGTACCATAGCTTGTCCATCCACTCCCAGCTGAAGAACATTTGAGTTGTTTCCAGTTTGGGTGACTATAAGCCAAGCCACTATAAACATTCATGCATCGTCTTTTGTGTGAACATGTTTTCATTTCTCTTGGGAAAATAATTCTTAGGAGGAGTACTGCTGGAGGAGGAGTACAAGTATATGGTAATGAAGTAATTGCCAGAACATTTTTCCAAGGAGACCATTTTCCAAAGAGACTGTACCATTTTACCTTCCTGCCAGCAATGTTCTAATTACTCCGCATCTTTGTCAGCACTTAATATATCAGGTCTTTTGATTTCAACCATTTTAATATGTGGTTAATGGTCTGTTGTGACTTTAACTTGCATTTCCTTAATGACTAATGTTGAACAGTTTTTTATATGCTTATTTGCTATTTGGATGTTTTCTCACAAGATCTAGGAGGTTTTTGGAAATTCCTTCGGATTATCTGTGTAGACAGTCCTATCACCTGCAATTGGGGACAGTTTTAGTTCTTCCTAACTGGTATGCTTTTTACTTCTTTTTCTTGCCTTATTGAACTTGATAGGTCCTCCAGTGTGAACTCAGATAGGAGTGGTGAGAGCAGATATCCTTCTTACTGAGTTTAGGAGGAAAGCATCCGGTCTTGCACCACTAGGTATGATGCTAGCTAGGTTTCTTTGTAGGCGTCGTGGTAGACAGCTTCTAAGATGGCCCTTAATAACCCCCTCCTCTTGGTAGTCATGTCCTTGTGTGCTCCCCTTCCCTTCAGTACAGGCTTGACCTAGTGACTTGCTTCTAAGGAATGGAATATGTCAAAAGTAATGTAATATCATGTCCAAGATTAGATTACAGAGAGACTGTGATTTCCACGTTGGGTGCTCACTTGTGCTCTCTCACTTACTTGCTCTTGAGGGAATACAGATGCCATGTTGTGAGTTGCCCTATGACAAGGAACTGAGGAAGCCGACAGCTAGGAAGAACTTAGGCACTAATCCTAATTCTGTGAGGAAATGAATTCTGCCAACAACCATGTGAGTGAGCTTGGAAGTAGACTGCTCAAACCATCTGCTCAAACCATCTTTCCAGTGAGCCTTCCTATGAGACTGAGCCCCAGCTGACAAATATAAGTTAATCTTATGAGAGGCTTTCATCCAGAGGCACCTAGCTAAGTCATATCTGCATTCATGACCTCCCGAAACTGTAAGGTAATAAATGTTTGATATTTATGTTTGAAGATTTGTTATGCAGCAAATAGAACTAATACAGAGGCCTTTATTTGATTAAGTTCTTTTTAATTTCAGTTTGCTGAGGTGTTTTTTGTTTTATTTCTGTTATCCTCATCCAAGTACATATTTTCATTGCTTTTAGAGAGAGATGAAGGGGGAGAGGGAAACATTGATGTGAGAGAGAAGCATCTGTTGGTTGCCTCCCATCCACCCCCAGATTGGGGATTGTATGTACCGGCACTGGGGATCAAATCCACAACCTAGGTGTGTGCCATGACCAGGAATCAAAGCCACAACTTCGCGGTTACAGGACGATGCTGCAACCGAGCCACACTGGCCAGGGCAAGAGGTGTTTCTTTAAATAACGAATTGATGTTGAATTTTGATAAAATACTTTTCTATATCTCTTGAGATGATTGTATGATTTTTCTTTTTTGTCATATAATTTTTCTTATTTAGTCTGTTGATATAGTGAATTGTATTGATTGATTTTTAAATGTTGAACTAGCCTTAAGTTCCTGGGATGAAACCAACTTGGTGATGACATTCTATCATTTTCATACATTTACTAGAGCTGATCGACAATACTTTATTAAGGATTTTTACATTAATGCTACTGAGATATATTGATCTGTAGTTTTCTTATAATATCTTTGCCTAGTTTTGGTATCAGGGTGATACTGATCTCATAAAGTGAGTTGGGAAATACTTCCTTCTCTGTTATTTTCTGGGGATATTTATATTAAATTGGTATTATTTATTCCTTATGTATTTGGTAGAATTTGCCAGTAAAGCAAACTGAGCATGGAGTTTTCTTTATTGAAATATTTTAAATTACAAATTCTATTTCTTCAATAAAACATAAGACTATTCAGTATATCTATTTCTTTTTGAGTGAGCTTTTGTAGTTTGTGTCTTTCAAGGAATTTGCCTGTTTTATCTGCACACTTGAATTTATGAACACAAAGTGGTTCATACATAACAATTATACATTATTATCTTGTAATGCTACTCATTCATAATAACATTGCACTATTATCCTCTGAATGTCTCTAGGACACTTAGCAGTATTTCCAATGTCATTCTTGGTATTAGTAATTTTTCCCTTCTTTTTCTTGAGCAGTTTGACTAAGGCTTATCAATTGTCTTGCCCTTTTTAAGAAATAGCTTTTGATTTAATTTATTTCATCTTTTTTTTGTTTTTCAATTTTGTTGATTTCATCTCTTTATTATTTTCTTCCTTCTGCTTGCTTTGTTTTTAGCTGCCCTTTCTGGTTTTTTAGTTGGAAGCTTATACCATTAATGTTATATCTTTCTTCTTTTCTATTATAAGCCTTCAATGACACAAAGTTTCCACGAGACACCACTTTAAATGCATCCACAAAACCTTGATATGTTGTATTTTCATTTTCATTCAACTCAAAGTATATATTTGAACATTTAAATAGGTGATTTTGATTCATTTTATTTATTTATTTATTTCCAGTCCTTACCCCCTGATCCATTTTAATTTTTAATATATATTTATTGATTCTAGACAGAGAAAGAGGGAGGTGGCGTGGGGAGAACAGAATGGGTGGAGGGGGAGAGAAACATCAATGTCAGAGAAACACCGATTGGTTGCCTCCTGCACCAACTGGGGACTGAACCCACAACCCAGGTAAGTGCCCTGGCTGGGAATTGAACCTGTCATCTTTCAGTGTACGAGGCAACACTCCAACCACCTGAGCCACACCAACTGGGCTCAAAATATTTTCTAATTTCCCTTGAGACTTACAGATTATTTGGAAGTGTGTTGTTCAATTTCCAACTATTTGGGGATTTTCCAGATATTTTTCTGTTACTGATTTTTAGTTTAATTCCATTGTTTCAAGAGAAATCCCTTTTTATGACTTAAATTCTTTGAAATATGTTGAGGTATGTTTCATGGCCCAGTATATGGTATATGTTGGTGAATGTTTCTTTTAGACAATTTAAAAAAGTCTTAAAATGAGTTGGGAAAGTCCATGTGAATGCCCCAGACCTACCTCGTCTGAATCCACACCAGGCTAAAGTGATTTGGAAAACTAACGGTATGGGTCAGTACCCGAGGACCCGGGGACTGTGCCGAGCCCAGCAGTAGTTAAGGGAGGGAGCAGTTATTTACGCCTAAGGAGGCAGTGAACCAGAAACCCAGTGTATCTTGCAGCTGCACCAGTTGTTTTGTTTGGGGGAAGTTGGATTAAAATATGAGAATAAATTTGAAGGAAAGGATGCTATGGCCTCTGTACCATCAAATCGCATCAGTCCTTTTAGTTGGCAGGACTGACTGGTTTTGATATCAAAGAATTATAACTTCTATGCAGTATAGTTCTTGGGAAGCTGAGAAATGTGGGCTCTTTTTCTCAAGCAAGTGCAAAAAAACCATGAAACATTGTGTTCCACTTCCAGTGGTCTTTTATTTGCAGCTCTACGCAATCAGAGAGAATACTTCAGTGTCCCTGGGTAACACAAACAGTGCTGTGGTATTTTAATCATTTAAAAAAGCAATAGGGAGTCAGTAGAATAACACATGGTAAGAGAGGAGCCGGGATTTGAAGTCAGAAGGGCAGGATTTCTGCCTTCTCACTGGTATTTGATCTTGTACAAGATAATTATTATTGCCTACACAACCACCACCACAATAACTATCCAGTGTTTAATTAGTGCTTACCCGGTGGCAGCCATTATGCTGATACAGTATTTTACACGTGAGCCTCACCACAACCCTAGCAAAGGGGCATCAGGATGATTAATACCCTGAGGTTTCAGGTGAGGAGGGTGAGTGGTTAAGTAATTTACCGGAGGA